AAGAGATTTAGCATCTAAATTTTACTTTCTGCGTCTAATTTTGCTAGATGCTGAAAGACATTTTTCTTGTAGTGTTAACGATGTTCAGATGTAAACGTGTGCATCTGAATTTATGTATTGGTGAGAAACGATTACTCATGGGAAGCTAGCACTTACCAAAGATAATAAGGTAATTTGGTCATTATTGGATTAGATTCAATAATAGACTAAAATATATTATTGATGGACTAAAATATATTATTGAATTGGATTCAATAATGGGTTAAATATTAAACGGGATTATTTTATATGCCTTGATTATAAATTTGTTTAAATCAAGGATTTAATATTAAAGAGTTAATATTAAATTGAAATTGTTTCAAGGACTTAGGATCAATAATGATTTAATATTAAATTGAAATTATTTCAAGGACTTGAAAATAATATTGAATTTGTATTAAGTGTTAATATAGGATTCATATTAATTCAAGGACTTGAGAACAATTTAAAATTATAGCAAAATGGTCCTTGTATATAAATAAGTGATTTTCCCAAATTTAATCTAATTTTTTATTTGGATTGAAAGTTTCTCTCTTGAGCTCTCATGGCCAACTCTCTTTTCTTCATCTTGGGGTGGACTTTACTTTGAGGATTTTCATGTTGAAGATCTTGAACTCCTTTTCAAGTTACAAGAGTTGTAAAGCATAAAAGGTAACAACTTTACCCATTTAGTTTCAATAACATGTCATATGACCTTATACCATGTTTTACACCAATTTTACCCTTTCTAAGCATGAATTCTTACACATTTTTTGTAAATATGATGAATAAGACATTATTCATTTATGTATTGATAAAGTCATATCTTAAGGTTGTACGATTTTTAATAATGATCAGAAATATTTATATGAGGGATTAATATATAAGAGACATAGAGATAGAGCAATATGGGTCAAGAAGACTTATATGTGAGAATGCATGCTAGAAAGACTAACATGCATAAATTATTATGAGAAGAATAAGTCAAGGAAACTTATATGGAAAGGACTTTTGCAATACAGTTGAAGTATAATGAGCTTAGAAGACTTGTATTATGAGAAGAATTGTCTTTGAAGGAGATAGATACAGAGAACACAGAGAAGCTATAATTAGATTGTCTAATTTTGTAAAGCTAAACATGGAAGCATACTGAAGAAGTACATATGCATGTATTGATGAAGTAGAACATATATTATGTTTTGTAGAACTTATGAAATGTCACATATGCATGTTATGAGTATGGTTGAGAGAACATATGTCATATGAACATAGCATAAATATGTTTTGAAGGATAAGAACATGAACATGACTGAGGAATGTTGAATCAATGATTCATTTGAAGAGGAATCATTAAAAAATAAATAAATGGATTGACTTCTCATTAAAGGTTTTGACCTTATAATATTGTAGACGGTAAAATCTACAGTTGATTTGGAAGGGACGGATCTTGTAAGAAGTGAGACACTGACAATTGTATGGACTTGCACAGAGAGAAAGAACGAACGTGAAGGCTCGGGGGACACCGATGTAATGTCTACCATAGCACTCCGATGCTCAAGTCAGCATGGTTGAAGGCAAGTTTAGTGAGGGTTGAGAGCAAGAAAGGGTTTGCCGTAATGTGACTAGGGCAGAACTAACACAAAGTGGTTGGAGCGCAGCTTTGCAGAGGCGAAAAGTGGTAAAGTTAGTTAGAACTAAACTTTACGGCGAGAAAATACGATGATTCTTGAGAGCAAGAATTTAGGAGCTAAAGCTTTAGGCTATTTGTGCATGCATAGTGAGAGGCTTGACCTCTGTTTATATAGGAGCTCAAGGGAGCTTAAGTCTTAGTAAGACTTTGAGTCCCAGTAGAACTTTGAGTCCTGCTTGATATAGGAGTCCGAATTAGGAAGGAACTCTTGTTCCTTGCCTTTATCGATTCAAGAGTACTAATTCATGTAAGATACTAGATCTTGAATTAATGAATTAGGAAGATTATAGGATTTTGATTCCAATTTTGGGATGAAAGTAGGCTAATGGGCTGGAGTCCGATTTAGCTTAATCTTATAGAAAGACCCAACTCATGGAGTGACCCAAAGAGTAAGTTGGCCTAGTTTGTAGACTGGCCCTGCTCATAGAGAGGCCCAACTCATAAAGTACCCTAGCTCGTGGAAAAGGTTGACTTGTGGTGTGGTCCAGCTTGTAGAATGGGTCGACCCATAGAATGTTCTTTCTCACAAATTAGGCCATCCCATCGGATGGTCAATCCACGAGATGGATTTAAGCATAGGCCCAACCAGAATTAGGCTAAGACACTAGGCCGTAATATGTTTATTTTGTTATTGGGTCTGACGAGGTCCAGTATGATTTTTGGCCTAGACAAATATAAAAATAATTAAAAAAGGTTATGCTCTTTATAAGGTTCAGACCTCATAATAATAATAAAAAAAAAAAATTGCTCGACAGAGTATCAAATTCATAATACAAATTCCAATCTCATGGAGATTTTGAAAGACTAAAAGAGGGGCATATTGTAGTGTATATTTAGTTAAAACACTCATTAGAGAAATAAGATAGTAAGTTTAAAAGTAGAGGTAGGCAAAGGCTCGGGCCCGAGCCCGATCTAGGCCCAATATGATTGGTCCCAAATTGGCATCGTCCTTCAAGGACCGGTCCTCATTTGGCTGGGACTGGTTGTGGGCCCATGAAAATTCTTAGGGCCCAAACCAGTCCTAGGATCGGCCATGGGCCCATAGGGCCGATCCTATGGGCCCATGGCTTAATTTTTTTTTTTATATATTTAGGGGTTAAATTAAAATTATGTAAGGGGGTTTATGTAATTTTTCAGGGGTTATTTGTAAATTTTAATTAATTAGTAAATAAATATAAATGAATGGTTATAATGGTTTTAATTTAAAGAGATAATTTAATTTTAGCTTTGAAATTTTAATTTGAACTTAAACAATTATATAAATATAAGGATGATCAATTGGTTATAAATTTATATGGTTTTAATTCAAAGAGATAATTTAATTTTAACATAAATACAATATTGACACTTCACAATGTGCAAATTTAATTTAAACTTAAAAAAATAAAGAATTAAATAAATTTGTTTTCATTAAATTATTGATTTACATCGTCCAAATTTGTGTTTTTGAAGAGGTCAAATAGTTTGGGATCTTCAAGGTGCTACTGTAGTCTTTTGTCTGCATGAGTACAATCCTGTAAACATTTTATGACTTTAACCATCTTATTGGTTAAAAAACATCTTCTGTCTTCAATAATGCAGCCACTAATTGAGAATGTTAATTCAGATGCAATTGTGAAAACTATCACACATAGAATGTCACGTGCCATTTGGGCTACAATGGGGAATCGACTTGCATTTTGGTTCCCCCATTAAAGCAGATCCATTTCGCTTTTCTCCTTCTTGGTCATGTAGGACATGTCCATTTGTAGATATTGCTGCAACTCATTTGGTCCATGTCTGTATGAGCTGGAGCTACTACTTCTACCATAGCACCACTACTAAGTTCCATATACGTGTACATACTTGATCCCTGTTGATAAATGTCTTCATCAGCTTTCTGCTGGATGTTCCACTGTACCTATTCTAATATAAAGAAAAAAGGCTTTCTAATTTTCTGTTAAATTTTATCAAATAAAAACTATAGTCATGTCCTAAATGCTGACCTATTTCAATAACCATACAATTAAATATGTTTAATTTAAACATAGGATCTACAATAAGACCTAATCCATATAATAATGAAATATCTAACCAATATTTCTGGTATTTTGCTTCCATGTCTGAAACAATATCCATCAAATCTGGATTATATCTATGTTTAGCAAAAGTTTTAGAAATTTTGAAGTAAAATATTTAACGCTAAATTAGTAGTAGAATAATAAATACCACTTAATGTATTGGTGGAATCATAAAATTTTTTAAGAAATGAATGAAAAAGAATGCAAACCGTCCAATTTGAATCATTGATGACTTCATCTGGATAGTTCTTTCAGTTGACGAACTCTATAATTTGTGCTACAGTTGGCATAGCTTTTTACAACATCAAGTACAGTGGAGTTCCAACGGACAAGCATGTTGCAACATAACTTCTTTGGTCGAACCAACGACTCCTCTTAACGATAATATTTTACGTACTCATTCCATCTTATATTGCTGCCGACAATATGATTGGTTGATTTCAAATTAAAAATAAACTTTCAACCAATCATTTTTTGCCACATAATGTTGTATGAGAAATATTATATAAAAATATTGTATATGTAGTATTATGCCTCTAAATTTTCTTAGTCAATTAAACATTTCGTTTTATTTTAACTATTTGTTTGTTTAATAAAACGTTAAATAAACTAATTAACAAAAAAAAGAATTTAAATAAGAAAAAAATAAATTTAAAATTTAAAAATTGGAAAAAAGAGTCTAAACAAAAAAATCTAATTAAGTTTGGAGGGTATAAAAGACTCATAAGTTAGATGAGGCGAAAAATTCTTTTTTTTTTTTATGAGTAATGCTACAGCCATCGACGGTAGTGTACCGAATTTGTGTACCGAATGACGTTACAAAATCCTGACCGTTGATTAATTTTAAATTTTAAATTAATCAACGGTCAGGATTTTGTCACGTCATTCGGTGCAAAATTCGGTATACCTCTGTCGGTGGTTATATTATTTTTCTTTTTTTATTTGGTCCATACTTTTAAAATCTGGGCCAGATATGGACCCAGCATAAACATAATCCGACCTGGACATATCCCATTTCGATCAATTAAGTTCGGCTTTACTTCTGAAAAACCAAGTCTGGAGAAGCCCATTTGTGAATAAATCCATCCAGCCCTACATACTGTTGAACCTCCATATACATTTGACTTTCATTTAGCCCAAATCAGTTTTTGAACTGACATTTGGAACATTTCCAGAAGAAAACAGAGCAGAGACGATGGTGCCACCGTTTCCGATTCCTTGGCACACAGTCATTTTATGTCTCATGCTGTTATTTCTTATCTCTCCATCATTCGCCATTTACTGCGACGAGGACGATTGCTACGATCTACTGGGGTCAGCTCAGTTTCATCACATCTCCTTTCCCAAATTATGCCTAGTTTCAATCTCCAATTGACCTTTTTTCTTCAATCTTTCTGAATTCTAGGGTGTCTCAAAATGCAAATGCATCTGAAATCAAAAAAGCTTACTATAAGCTCTCTTTGAAATAGTAAGTTTGTATTTATTGATTTTATTATATATGAATTAATTTTTTTTTTATTGATTTATATTTTGTTTTTATGATGTGGTTAGTCATCCCGATAAAAACCCGGATCCGGAATCAAGGAAGTTGTTCGTGAAAATTGCAAATGCTTATGAGGTAATATGATTTTAAATTGTTTAATCACATAATTTTTTTACTTGCTGTCAATTCTTGATGATGATTCACATGTTTTGATTATATTAAAATTGTGTTGTATATTGCAGATTTTAAAAGATGAAGCCACAAGGGAGCAGTATGATTATGCAATTGCACATCCAGAAGAGGTTCACAAGAGTTTTAATTAAGATAATATAATTGCTAATGTCATTCTATAGTTTCAATGTTATGTATTTTTATCTCAATGGTTATGTATTTTTAAATCTGAAATTGCATTCTCTTGTTAGCAATTTAGGGAAGAACAATTATGCTGTGATTCAAGGGGTTAATTTGAAAAGGAATTCTTAAGCTTAATTTGGAATTAACTTTTTGATGACTCNATAGTAATTCGTAAAGGTTGAACCCAAACATGAAGAAGGAGGAAACTGTGAGGAGGCTATACGAAATTTTCATGTTTCATCTGATAAGTTACCGTTAACTTATCAGCTGCTGCAAGTTCAAGGGCTGCCAGCGTGGGCTAATACTTCTTGTGTTTCTATTCGGGATGTGATTCAGGTAAATTTATGTTCTTTTACTACGGTCAGAACATTTTCTTTTTCGAGTATCCATTTAGCATTATTCTTTAGTTGAATGTATATGAATGTCAATGATTATCGTGATCCATTTAATTATTTGTTTGGTAGGGAGATATTGTTGTTGCTATTTTATCAAATTACATGGTGGATATCGATTGGTTGTTACCTGGTGAGTTCCTTTTCCTACTGATATTTTTCCTACTTTCTTGTTCCTTTAAATTTCCATATCTTTAGATGATTATAAGTTGCTCCCTATGACCCCAGCATCTACAAGACATAACCCCGATTTTTTATTAGTTGCCTTGAAATTTTGCTAGGGAACTGAACATATCATTATCTTATTAGCAATACTACAGGTGGAGACAGTAAGATAAAGGAACTATGTTCTTAATGACATATTGAACGAATTTTCTGGTATAATGATGTTATTTTTTAAGCAAATATGAAACACCTTAGCTACATATCAAAGCTCATCTTACAATTTGATACATCTTTCGAAGTTTGCAATGGTGGCTAATTTACGGGAGAAATCGGGGCTCCTGTGCCATTGACATCTATATTGCCAAATGGCAGTGCAAAAGACAATCCCTTGAACATGAATCAAATGAGAGATGGAGTTAACTCTCCCAAGTTGGACTTCTTCCATAGGGGCTGTCACTGTAGAAACCTAGAGGTGTTTGTGATGGGTATCTGTTTTCAAGCATTAAATATGGTTTATATTGCTGCATAAATGGGTTTGCCAATATTTTTGAAAAAATTCCTTATTAGATTATTCTTCTTTGTTGTTGTTATGCTTTTGTTATTATTCTTCTTTGTTGTTGTTATGCTTTTGTTGCACCTATCTTAGGTGTGATGTGTATTTTCACGATTTGTATAGATTGATTATTGGCTTGGTTCCTGTGATTTTTTTCCATTCTTTCCTTTGTAATCTTGTGGTATTTTCCTTGTAGCTTGTCCTACGCTTGCCAAAATTCCCAATGTGTTGGTAATTCATGGGGAGAATGATGGTACAGTGGAACATATGAAGGTGTAGTATAACTCTAATTTATACTAATATTCTTTTATATTTGAAGTTTTATTTATGAAAACATTGCAGAGGAGGAAGCCAGCAAATTGGATTTTTCACAAACCCCCACTACCTATTGCATACGGGACACACCACTCAAAGGCCATGCTTCTGGTCTATCTTCAGGGAGTAAGAATTATTGTGCATACAGCAAACTTGATATATGTTGACTGGAATAACAAAACTCAAGGTTTGTGGATGCAAGATTTCCCCTGGAAGGATCTAAATAATCCAAGCAAAGGCTGTGGGTTTGAAACAGATTTGGTTGATTATCTCAGTGCATTGAAGGTATTGATATCTGTAGAATGTTAGAGAATGCCATCTGTTAAGAGGCATGTGTGGTTTTCTTGATCAATTGTTATATTGCTTCATAAAATTTATTTAAGAATACTGCTTCACATTTGAAAGTTTGACGGCCTTTCTTTTTTTTTGCTTATACGTCTCTTCTCTGAAAAGAAACGGATGCCTCCATCATGTGCATAAGATATCATGTTACATCATTGTCTTAATATTAATAATAATAATAAAGCTTGCTAGGATGAAATTGTTTTGGTTTTTGATTGGTTTTCCAATCTAAGCTCTATCAGCTATTTGTGTCTTGTCTTATTACTCTTCTTTAGGAAAAAATATTGATAGACTGCTTTATTGTCTAGGGTGTGATACACTTGTATTTTTCAAATGCTATGCTGGAAACGAAAGTGATGTACTTCTGAACAAACTTTTTTGAATGGTAATGAATAGAGGAAGTTATTTCTCCAAATTAGATTGAGAAGAAGCCTGTGAATTTTCTTCTTCTCCAAAGATCACTCACATGACGATGGAAGGTTTTTATATATTTATGTTTCTCATATTGTCCCCTTCCAGTATTTGGCAGTTGTATGTATATTCTGAGGATTAGAGTTTATGGTTTGTGGTTTAAGGTTATCATTGTTACTATTGCTTTCACTTTTGAATGGATGAGTGTTCTTCAATAATTAGTTCCCAACGTAATAAAATAAAATATTTGCAGAAATATATTCTATTAACAACTTAACTTTTCAATTTGACATTTTATGTTGGAAATATTAATGTACCCTGTAGAATTAAATGCTTCAATTATTTCTCCCTGCCTCATGTGTTATAGGAGATTCAGCTGAATTTTTCAGCTTTTAGCAGAGTTATGGATATTATATTCTCCTCTAAAGTTGTGAACCAAGCCATTCATATTTCATTTGTCTGTCTCACTGAAATGAGCAGAATATAGGTTATGCACGGGAGTAGAAATGTAGTGTAAATCAATGTTGACCCATATTCAGCGTATTGATGTTGATTTTTTTTTTTTTTTTTCCCATTTGAATATGTCAGTGGCCTGAATTCAGTGCCAATATACCAGCCCTTGGCAACTTCAAAATCAATCCATCATTTTTCAGAAAGTTTGACTATAGCAGCTCTGCGGTATTCTTTCCTCTTAATTTCTTTTTTCCTGAATGATATTTCAGCTTTAAGTGGAGGATATTATGTTTAACAAAGTCTCTATTTTCAGTAGCATGCTATAATATGTGACCATATAATGCTTTGTTATAAATTTTCAGGTCCGGTTAATTGCTTCAGTCCCTGGCTATCATACTGGTCCCAATTTGAAAAAGTGGGGACATATGAAGCTACGAACTGTTCTTGAAGAGAGTATTTTTGACAAAGAGTTCCAGAAATCTCCTCTTATTTATCAGGTAGGGTTCAAGATTTCATATGTTAACAATAGTCATGCATTCACATATAGGGGGACATTTCAATGTTCTTTGCTTTCTGTGACCAGAGAAAGAGTTAAATTGCGCATTACTCTATTTAGTGACTTTTTTCACATTTAATTCCACTGTCTGTTATGGGGTTATGGGCCTAGTCTTTTCATCTGACCTCTTCTGCTAATGATTTATGAGCATGATCAGTGCTATGCGGTATGCCAGTACTACTAGGGAGTACAGAGGCCCTTCTTTTTAAGGATGATTTTCGTGAATGATGGTTGTGTAAATTTTATTTCTCTTGAAGGATTTTATTCTAATTAATTTATGGACTTTTTCATGGCAGTTCTCATCCCTTGGTTCTTTGGATGAGAAGTGGATGGCTGAGCTGAAATGCTCTATGTCGTCAGGTTTATCAGAAGATAAGAGACCACTTGGAATTGGGGAACCACTAATAATATGGCCGACTGTGGAAGATGTCAGATGCTCTTTAGAGGTACTATCAAGTAGGTTATTCCTGTGAACTTTTTTTATCATTCATTTCTTGGAATACTGCAATCATTTACCAATATGGCCAGCTTCTGAAAGCTGGTTGTAGTTGGAAATTTGGTCGACTTAGCCATTTTCTGGGAAGGCTGGTCCCTTACCTGGATCTATGAAGACAAAATATTGACATTCAGTTAGAAACCGACAGTCAAGCTAAACACTTCATCAACTGAATTTTAAAACTGTAAACATTTGTCACCTGACTTGCATCAATTAGTTGGTTTAAATCTTCAAATTTTAGCAGTATCCTGGAATGAATGAATTCCGTCTGGAAACATTAAGTAAACTTCTCTACATATTCTTGAAAGGTTGCGTGACCCTTAGTATAGCCTTTTCTGGTTGTATAATCAAAATGTGAGTGCCAATGATTAAGATGAATTGCAAGTTTCAAATTATTTCAGATGTGTGCAAATGACTAATTTACATGAATTACTTCCTAAAATGAAGAAAAAAAAAAAAAAAAAGGTGATATCTGAATTTCTTAATTTGTTCTTTCAGTAATGAAATAAATTGTGTCAGTCTTCCTTTTAGTAATAAAGATCTCTATATCAACTCTATATTTTAGCAATTGCCAAAATTTGAAAACTTTATATTCAAACATTTCTTGATTTAAAGTTATGGAAGCCCAAAAGTTAATATTGTATTTTTATGTAGTTTGGAAATATATTAGGCATTATAATCTTGATTCCTTTTGTTGGTTTTCTTTTATTCTGAATTAAGCATTTATTCCGAGTGATAAAAGCTATTTTGAATTTAAAGAAGAAACAAGTTTATCTGATGTAGCAAACTTGATAAATTTTTAGTCTCTTCTTGTTTCTTATTTTAAATTTCTTTAAGTAAATTTTAGTAGTCACCATGCTTCTTAGAAGTGGAATTTGAATGAATTCTCATAAAAAATTAAGTTGTCTGGATCCTTTGGCTACTTCTGATTTGGTGTTATTTGGTTTCTGGTATAAATAAATGCAGAGAAAAGTTGGATTGCATTTCTCTTTTTGGTTTATATATATGTTGGATTTGTCAGTTTGCATTCTACTTACATTTCTACACCTAATTTACGTTTGTATTTCATTTATTATTCTATTTTTTCTCTAGGGTTATGCAGCTGGAAATGCCATTCCAAGCCCACACAAGAATGTGGATAAAGAATTCTTGAAGAAGTACTGGGCTAAATGGAAGGCAAACCACACTGGCCGCTGGTAAATATATTGATATACATGTCTCATGCATATTGAAAGTTTGGACAGAGACCGCTAATTAACATCTTTGAACTGTAATCCATATTCAAAATTTTGCCCTTTGCACTCATCTCAGAAATAAAAGAGCGGCTACCTGCTACTGTGTACAACTTTAGTGTAGCCAAATACTCATTTAAGAAACTAATAAATTGCTTGTATTATCTCATAACATTTAACATTCTCTACTCTGTCAAAATGTGGTTACCATCTTACAGAAGGTTCACAAGTTATTACAATTAAATGTTGGAAGTGCTATTTAGTTTGTTGTTTACTTTGAGGGTACATTTTTCATTCTTTCCTTCTCTTTCAGAACTTCTATTATACATTCAGCAGCTGAAATATTTTTTTGGAAATTAAGTGGATGTAGACAACTCAGGTTGAGCTCTTGCTTCAGATGACAGCACCTAAAAAGATGCCCCCAAAAAGAAAAAAAAGTACTGAGATCCATTCTATTAATTCTCCAAACAATTTATCTAGATGCGTTGTCTTAGTTTCATTAAGACTAGGCAAGATATGCTTACCGCCTGGACCAACTTCGAAAATTGGCGACTGCCTGTAGTGAATTTTAGGTTGATCCAATATGCCTGTGGACATAAGTGAGAACTTTTCATTCATAGTTCTCATTATTTAAGTGCGAACAGTTCTTGGCCAGATAAATAGGAGGACATTGATTGTACTTTATATTGATTTTTCCCTAAGTTTAACATCATCAGTTCAATTTGATTATGAGTGTTGCTATCCTTGGTTTATTAATAGGATGATGTTGATAATGTATTCACAGTTTTTATTATTTAACTGCTTGCAGTTCTCTTTACGATGCATTTATAAAGTGGCACCCTTATATTTTTTGTCTGTCTTTGATTTGGTTACCTTTTCCTTTATTTACCCTAATTCAGGTTGTTTTGTTTCTTACTACTTAGCTTTTTCCATGTTTCAGTCGTGCAATGCCACATATAAAGACATTCTTACGTTACAATGGTCAGAAACTGGCGTAAGTGTTCATACCAGATGCGTCGATTGTGGCTTTAGAAGCTTTTTAAGTTTTAATTATCTTTGGCTGATTACTGTGCCAAATCAATGTACTAGAGCTCAAACTGTGAAATCTTAATTTTCTTGCCCCTGCAGTTGGTTCTTGCTGAGTTCAGCAAATCTTAGTAAGGCTGCCTGGGGAACACTTCAGAAGAATAATTCTCAGTTGATGGTTCGTTCTTATGAGGTATGTGTATTGTAAATTATGGCATCTTACAATTCAGTTGAATTGAGAAAATATGACAGCTTCATTTACTATGAACCAACCTGTTTTCAGTGCATATCTGTTTTTCTTAGAATTTGCATTTATACGATCAATGGATCATTAAAATTTTTTTTTTTTTTTAGGTAATTGAGGTATCTAGGTCCGTATTGGAGTCTATCTACTCTTTCGCATATTTATTTATTCATTTGCTTCTTTGGGTTGTTTCCATGAATTATTCTAGTTGGGAGTGCTATTTTTACCATCTGGTACAAAGCATGGTTGTAGATTTTCTTGTACAAATAATGGTGGTTCATCCAAGGTAATGGCTTACATTCTTGTAAATGTTCGTACTCATCTAAGAGGCATACAATTTTATTCGGAGAAAAATATAAAATTAATCTGATAGTTGCTTGATTTTCAGAGTGAAAGTGGTACAATAGAAAATACCAAGTCACTGAAAACTAAGCTAGTGACCCTGACTTGGCAAGGGAGCCGGAATACAGATGAATTCTCTGAAATAATTACTTTGCCTGTACCTTATGAACTCCCTCCTCAACGATATTCCTCTGAAGGTAATTTTTCTGTTATTTAAATTTACTGCTACACTTTTATTGTCTCATTGATCTGGCTTTCATTTATCTGCTCCGCAGATGTCCCTTGGTCGTGGGATAGGCGATACAGCAAGAAGGATGTTTATGGTCAAGTTTGGCCTCGGCAAGTTCAACTATATGCTTGCCAAGATTCCTGATTTATTAGATGTGCTTCAAGTTTTCTGTAGTTAGATATTTTCCAAAAATGTACCAAATAACTTTTCAGCATTTTATCCAATTCTGATATAATTTTTCAAATATTATCAAATATATTTTCAGAATCTTATCATATTCGATTTAATCTAACTTATCTCAATTTTTAATAGTCTTTCAGAATAACATATTTTAAATAATCTACCAAACAGGCCCTAAGATTCTGTGTTTTGAAAGCAAATGAGTGCCTATCAAACTAACATCGCATACACATACACAAATTCAAACCTATGATTTTAATTGGTAGGTTAATAAAGCCACATAGAAGCATTGATAAAATAAGAAGCTTTTAATCATTCAAATTCCACAAGGTGGTTTTCATTCACAACCACAAGCAATGCGACGTAACTCGTAAGTACACCATCACATATCTAAACTAGTAGTATTAATGACATGAAAGATGTCGACACTACATCCATGCGCCAAACAAAGGCTAACCATATATTGCTGTGTTGAGTCAGCTGATTGGTTGTGATTCTTATGAAAAAGTGAAGTGAACGAGGTAGAAACGTTTGGAGACGAGAGGAGGGATGGAGAAGGGCGACGGTGAGCTGATGACTATTGTGCTGACTAGTTGCATGTGAAGAAGTGAAGAAGTGGAGTACTGAACGGAGGTGGCAGAAGAGTTAGTAACAAAGTGTCTTAGGGTTTAGAACTTTAGATGGGAGTTAGGACTGCCAATTTTAATTTTAGATTTAGGGATGTTTAAAAAGACCGGTTTTAAAAACTGATTCCGGTTAATCAGCTTTGAATTTTGGATAAATTGATAACCGGTTTTTCATTTTTCTCATTTTCACAAATCGAAACTGAACCGGTTACTTTGGAAAATTTGTTTTTCGGACCGGTTTCGGTCCGATTTCCCGATTCGATTTTATTTTTGGATTTTTTTTTCACAGCCCTACTTCTAAGTAGGAATAGCCATATAGGAAAACATGGGGGTTTCATGCTTTAAAATTCTCACCATTTTATAATCTTATTTAGCATGTTATCGTTTGACATTCAACTTTAGCATACTTCTACAAATAAGACACTCCATAAACTTGTGTTGGTACATGGCCATTCTAACACCAATTTCCTCGAGCTTAGAGGAAGTTGGTAGGACACCCTAGGTTTATTATTCTATTACAAAAAATAAAACATCTTCGACATTCAGATTCTTCACGACTTTGCCTCATCTTCAAAGCCCATTCTACTTTATATATAAATTTAAAGGAACCTCGAGTTACATTCGAAGGGATTTAGATGAGAAGAGAATTTACATTGAAGAATGGGAGGTAAGACAGGACACGCAGGCCCTATTTAAAACAAACAAATCCAAAATAATAAAACTTAAGGTCATGGTTGAGTACCAAACACCATGCATAATAGACACCAATCATATAATGCATAAATTCAAATTTACCATATTTGAGTTGTCAAGTAAATTTTCTTTACCCCTTTTAATTTCGCAAAGTTTTTATTGGTCCCTAAACTTTGTAAAATTATAGTTTAGTCCTTGTCTAGTTTTAAAAACAACTAAATAGTCCAGAATAGCGACAACTTATTCTTTTATTGATGGATAAGCGTAAAAGTTCAAAGCGCTTTTCTCCAATCCCGAAAATACCTTTATCCCGCGGCAACAGGTGAGTCATTTTCAACCCTCTATTTCCAACACGAAAGATCGTGGGGTTTATTGTTATTGATGGCAACAACCATTAAACCCTAGTAGCCCAAAACAGGCCACTCCCACTAGGCCCAAGCACGTAGTGCGAGACCCATAAGTCCTGGCCGGCTTGCCGAGGCAAGGCATCACAGTGCGCACTATTGTCGCGTGCAAGCGTGCGGCATTAGGGTAAAGTGTCGCACGCTAGCACGTGGTATGCGCCATGGGGTAATGTGATGTGAGGCGCATACCCCCTTGAGAGGGCCAACCGTGCATGAAGGCACGACCAAGGGCCCTTGGAGCTACTTGGTGGCGTGTGACAACGTGCAACCAGGTGTAGTTGCACACGACAACGCGCAACATAAGGGGTAGGTTGCCCTGGGGCTGTGCATGGGTTCGAATGGCTGTGCACAACCATGCACAACCATGGTCAGGGTGGCTATGCGCGACAACGCATAGCCAAGGAGCAAAAGGTTGTGCGCACCAACGCACAACCATGGACAATAGTTGCACGCATCAATGCGCAGCCCTAAAAATCAGCCACCATCTTTACGGTTTTCGAAACCCTAATCCAACCAATCTTCGAAGAAACTCCATCAACAAAATTAAATCCAAAAACAATATGTTTAAAAATAAAATTAAAACCTACACATGCCAATCTAGCATCCAATCACATACATGCAATTAATAGCCGAATCGAAGCTCTGATACCACTTGTAGGAACCATGTCATGGCAAGCACAGAATTACAGTAAAAAAAATTTTTTTTTTGCCATGGCATGGTTCCACTACCCAAGATCACGATTTCGACTAAATCAATAAACATAAAATTAACCATACAAGGTTATGTGATTTACCTTCATTGCGGCTCCTCCTCTAGATCTCGCTAACTAGTTGCTATCAATCCAACGTAGGATTGAGTCCGTCGGTATCCACACGAAGGCAAGCTCGGAATCACCCTAGGATTGATTGCTAGACCAATCAAAGGGCTTAAGTGATGGTGGGGGAAAATTGAGAGCGAACTCTCAAGGTTGGCTAGGGTTTTTGGTGTGTGAGAGAGAGAGAGAGAGAGAGAGAGAGAGAGAGAGAGAGAGAGAGAATAGTTTGATATTATTCAACTACATTTCCCAAAGAATTCTCATATCTTTAAACTAAAACTCTCCTCCTTTTATAGTGTAAATCCAAATAGGAATTCAATAAGGATTACAATCCTTGAATCCTCATTTTGGAAGGATTCCACTTATCCTAAAAGGAAAGGATAATATCTCTTAGAGATATTATCCTATTTAAATATCAAATACTTAATTAAATAAATAAAGCTATTTATTTAATTCCATAAATATATATAAACTAATTAAATAAATATATTTATTTAATCCATATATATTTAATATTTGGGTTTAAATATACTAATTTAAATTAAATATATATATCTGTACACTAATTAAAATTAATATGAATCCAATTTTGCTAAAACCTCTTCCAATAAATTGGATAATGACGTCAACCCTTTAGCAAAATTACCAAAGTGCCTTTTTCGCCCATAATGACAAAAATGCCCTTGGACTCCCAAATTATCGAAATACCATTTTCAGTCCAAAGACAAGATTGCCCTTCCATTTCCATTTCTCACTTAACTACCTTCCATGTGTGTAACATGAAGGCTCTTCACTTTGCCGGTAGTGTCTCAATAACTAATTAAGCATCAAGCAATTAGTGTTTTTGTACACCAATCAAGATTGTCCTTTAGCCGAGCATCATGATTCCTCGGTAAATAAAGAATCAACGATTTAGACTTACCTTGTTTATGGATGGTTAACGTGCAATTCGATCCGTTTCATCATCTTTTATCTCATCAAGGTTTGAGGTACAGAAATAGTGTCTACCTCATAAGCTACCTTGATATGTTCTATATTTGGTCCTTGAATCTGAAGACTATAAAATTGGATTTGAGCACCAACTTGATTCCACCGTGGCCACGAATTTGAGGTCGTAGTTCTTTAACCAAAGATCTCGCTGAGATAAGATCTTCTGTAACTAAGAGTGATGAATCCTTTGTTAATCCACCATAGCCATAGTGTACTTCTCAATGTAACCAATCACCACCGTTCTGGTAACCCTAAAAGAGACGACGTTAGGCTAGTGTCAAATCACATCGATATTTACACACGATGCTCTAGTGATCTCAAGTCGAATGACCATGTGCACCACCATCCGTAAAAGGATATATTCCGTAGACATTGGGTTTACCATCTCATGTGGAATCCTCTAATGGGTCAGTCCAATGTACTTGCACAATCAAGCACCCATACATTACACCAGGTTGATGCCCACAACCTTGACATGTGAGATCTGTTACTACCTTTCAATAGGGTCATTCAACGCGATGATAGTCCCTCCGTATAATATGTGTTCTTGGTTAGATTTATACTTGACTACAGACGGTTTAAGAAGGGCCACCATTTTTGCTCATAGGGTTCTCACAATTAAGATTTATAACACTTAATTCTTTCATCACTGGTTCCAACCTTTCTAAGGACATATACTATTTTCTTTACATGCAGTAAATAGATGCTACAATATATATGCTTATAAATAAGCGATGCCTTTTTATTCATTTATTGGAAATGAGTTTACAAAAGCTAAATTGTTGGCTCTAGTTCACATACTCTAACATATGACAAGTTCATGGTTGAAGACCTGGACACCGATTGCGTCGCTATTGGAGTGTTATCACCTGACTATGCGAAGTGATTGCCGTCAATGGCTCGTGAGGTCTGGCCTGTTCTTGCTCTCTTCCTTGATTCAACGGCTCTTCGAATATCAGCAAGGAATGACTCTTGATGATCCAATGAATGAGAAATCAAACAGATTAAATTTTTCAATGAAGGAAAAATAAAATGGAGGTTTTTGAGAGAAAGAGATGGATGACACAAGGTTTTCTATGAATGAGAAAAACCTAAAGTGACAACTCTTTATAAAGGAAAACCCTAGAGAAAATCGGGGTTTTAATTCAATCCGTCACTTCAAGACACGGTGAGCACCTTGAATGCAAAGTGAACACTCTAGCAGCACCAATGTCAAGGTGATGACCTCACTCGAGGAGTGGTCACACAATAAGAGAAGGAAAAAAAAAAAAATTCAACCATCAGGTGGTGACACGAATGTCAGAGTGAACACACAAGAATCAATTTTAAAATTTAAAACAACTTAACAAAGGGTGGTGACTGAAAAGACTAATGTGATCACCGTGAAGCAAGCAGGTTAACACATGAATACTTAAGGTGGTGACATAGACACAAAGGCAGCAAACTATAATAAAAAATAAGTACAAAATGGTCATGAGTTCAGACAAATTTCATGAGATTTAAAGAGACAAGTCATA